GCCGAGGGTTCGGATCCCACATACAGACCAGTTCCCGCTCACTGGCTGAGCAAGGTGCGGGTGCAGCACCGAGGTTTGCGATCCCGTTGCCGGTCCGGTACGGGCGCGACACTGAGCGTTGCGATCCGTTGCCGGACACGAAAAAAAAAAAGACAAAAAGGACCCCCCCCAAAAAAAAAAAAAAAACAACAAAAAAACCCCCATACATAGTACCATAGCACAATCAGGCTGACACTGACACCGTGAAGACACAGTACATTTCCATCCCCACACCAGTCCCTCAGGTTGCTTTTATATCGCCACATTCATTTCCCTTTTGTTCCCACCGCCTGTTTATTCTCTGGCAACCATTAATATGTTCTCTATTTCTATACTTTTGTCATTTAAAAAATGTTCTATTAATAGAACTATACAGTATGAAACTTTTGGGGATTGACCTCCCCTTCCCTGGTATCAACATCCTGCACCATGCACATTCATTAACCATCGTTTAACTTACACTGACACATCATTATCACCCAAAGGCCATCATTTACATTAGGTTAGCTCTTGGTGTTGTACATTCTGCAGGTTTTGGTAAATGTATAGTGCCGTATATCTACCATTATAGCATCATACAGAACAGTTTCACTGCCCTAAAAATCCTCTGTGCTCTGCCTGTTCTTCCCCCCCACGTCCCCCACCCCTGACCCCTGGCAACCACTGATTCTTTTACTGTCTTCATAGTTTTACCTTTTCTAGAATATCACATAGTTGGTATATAGCCTTTTCAGACTGTTTTTTTTCACTTATTGTCGCTATTTTTTTATTTAGCCATTCTGATAAGTGGGTAGTGATATCTCATTGTAGTTTTAATTTGCAGTTCCTAGTGGCTAATGATATTGAACATATTTCCTGTGTCTATTTCCCATCTGTATATATTTTTTTAATGAACTATCTCTGCATGTCTTTTGTTCATGCTGTAACTGGATTTTTTGTTCTTACACTGTTGTGTTTTCAGAGTTCTTTACATATTCCAGGTATTACCCCTTTGTTGGATATGTGGCTTAGTGATATACTTTCAACTCTGTAGCTTGTCTCTTTATTCTCTTAACAGGGTGTTTTACAGAGAAAAAGTTTTTAGTTCTGATCAAGCCCAATTTATCAATTTTTCCTTTTAATGGATTGTGCTTTTGGTGTCAAGTGTAAGAACTCTGTCTATCCCTAGATCTGGAAGATTTTCTCTTATTTATTAAAAAAATGTTTTGTAATTTTATGTTTTACATTTAAGTAAGTGATCCATTTTGAGTTCATCTTTGTATAAGGCATGAGGTTTAGGTTGAGGTTCTTTTTTTTTTGGCTTATGGATGTCCAGTTGCTCCAGCAGTATTTGTTGAAAAGTTACCTTTCCTCCGTTGAATTGGTTTTGCACTTTTGTTGAACATATTTGTGTGGGTCTATTTCTGGGTTCTCTATTCTGTCTTATTGATCTATGTGTCTATTCCTCTGCCAACACTGCATAGTCTTGTTTACTATACATATACTGTAGCTATTTAGTAAGTTTTGAAGTTGGGTAGACTCACTCTTCCCACTTTATTTTTCAAAATGGTTTTAGTTATACTAGTTCCTTTGCCTTTCCACATAAATTATCTCTATCTACAAAAAAATCTTGCTGGATTTTGACAAGAATTGAGTTAAATCTGTATGTCAATTTTGGGACAACTGACACTTTTACTATGTTGAATCTTCTAATCTGTGAACCCAGTATGTGCTGCGGATTGACTACAAAAAAATCTTGCTGGATTTTGACAAGAATTGAGTTAAATCTGTATGTCAATTTTGGGAGAACTGACACTTTTACTATGTTGAATCTTCTAATCTGTGAACCCAGTATGTGCTGCGGATTGAATGTCCCTCCCCAAACTCATTGAAGCTTGAATTGTGTCCTCCAAGTTTTATTAGAAACTTGGACCCCACTGTGACTGTTGGGAGGGTGGGAAATCCTATTACAGTAATTGAAAGGTGGGGCCTCCAAGGGGTGATTAGATTGTAGGACCATGCCCTAGTGAATGAATTAATAATGGTGGTAATGGGTGTGGTTCTGAGGACTTTAAAAGGAGAGCATATGAGAGTCTCTCTATCTGTTCTCCACCATTTTCTGCCATGTGAGACTCCTGCATTGTTGTAAAGCCATCACCAAGAAGACCCTCACCAGATGTGTTCCCTGGACTCTGGACTTCCTAGCCTCTGAAACTGTAAGCAATAAATTTTGTTTTCTTACAAAGTACCCAGTTCTGTGTATTTTGTTATAAACAACAGAAACAGGCTAATACAGTCTCTCCATTTCTTAGACTCGTTTTTGATTTCTTTCACCAGCATTGTATAGGTTTCAGTGTACAAGTCCTATACATGTTTTGTTAGATTTACACCTATGTATCTCATTTTGGGGGGAACTATCCTAAATGGTATTTTATTTTTAATTTTAATGTCCATGTGCTCATCACTAGTATACAGAAATGTAATTGATTGATGTATGTTGAGCTTGTGTCCTGCAATCTTATTGTACTCTCTCAATTATAAGAAGTTTCTTTTTTGTTTTCTGGCAAATTCCTTGGAATTTTCTACCTAGGCACTTATGCCATCTGCAAATAGGAACGATTTAATTTTTTCTTTTCTATTTTTATTTCATTTTTCTGCCTTATTGAATTGACTAGAAATTTCAGTACTATACTGAACAGAGCGATGAAAGTGGACATTCTTGCCTAGTTCTCAGTCTTGGAGGAAAGCATTCAGTCTTTCAACATTAGGTGTGTTATCTGTAGGGTTTTTTTTGTAGATTCTGTTTATTGAGTTAAGGAAGTTACCCTCTATTTCTATTTTTCTGGTAGTTTTTTTTTTTTATCATGAATAGCTATAGAATTTTGTGAAATGCTTTCTCTGCATTATCTGTAAAATCATGAGATTTTTCTTTTTTTACTTCTTCATATTGTGGATTACGTTGATTGATTCTGAATATTGAACCAGTATTACCTCTCTGGAATAAACCATACTTGATTATGTTGTATGATTCCTTTTATATATTGCTGAATTCTATTTACTTATATTTTGTTAAATGTTTTTGCATCTATATTCATAAGGGCTATTTATCTATAGTTTAGTTATGGATTTTATTTTTTGGGGGGCACTATCGTTGCCTAATTTTGGTATCTGGGTACTACTGGCTTTATTTTTTTTTTTTTGTCTTTTTTCATGTCTGGCAACAGATCGCAACCTCAGTGTCGCGCCCGTACCGGACCGGGACCGGCAACGGGATCGCAACCCTCGGTGTTGCGCCCACACCTCGCTCAGCCAGTGAGCGGGAACCGGTCTGTATGTGGGATCCGAACCCTCGGTGGGAGCGCCGCCGCGCTCCCAAGCAGCGCACTGTAGCAGTGCGCCACCGGGCCGGCCCACTACTGGCTTTATAAAATAAATTGGGAAATGTTCCCTCTTATTTTCTTGAAGAGATTGTGTAGAGTTGGTGTTAATTGTTAAAATATTTAGTAGAATTTCCAGTGAAACCATTTGGGCCTGGAATTTCTTTTGGGGGAATTTTAAAATTATGAATTCAATTTCCTTAGTAGTTATAAGGCTAGTCAAATGACCTATTTCATATTTATGTGTTATAATTTGTAACACTATAAATAGCATTAGAGTTTTTGTTC